ACTAGAAACTGCAGCCCCAGTGAATATACAAGGGGATGGGAGCTTGAAATTGGGACCTAGCAAACAGGGTGAGGGGGAAGGTCACAGCAATCATAATGGAAGGCATGTCTTGTGCTGACGGTTGCGTTGGTGGTGATAGAGGTGGTGATGACAGGCCGCAGGTGGGTGGTCTAGGGTGGGGGCATTGCTTCTCATCCTGGTCCATAAGCAGTGTTACAAAACAGACTTATCTGTTGAAGCTGGTTTTGGCATCGTTGAATACATTATCCATAGACCCTGTCCAGGCTCTAACAAAAGTGAAAATCATCAATTTGGAGAGTATTAGCCTTTCTCATCCAGAAATGCTGAAGAGGGAACTTGTATCACAACTGAGCTGATTACAGTCACTACAAGTTAGAAAACAGGTAACAAATAGGAAATCTTCTATGGTCTGTGGAGATTAATGCTATCCGGATGTGCCATATCTATCTCAAATAATGGGTCAATAGTCATTGACCTATGACATTACGATTTAACTTTTAATTTGGATTGCTAGTATTTAACAAATTACTTCCAAAAAAGCAAAATCTCATTGTTTTAATAAGGAAACAAGAAGATGACCATTACAACAACAAAAGTGTAGTGGTGAGAGAATCACTAAGCTTTATGACAACAAAGACATTGAAATGTTCCTTTCTCTTGTTACTATCCTAACCACAGCAAACCATTCTTTTCAACAGCCAGAACACAAGAACTTCCTAAATCAACAGAGCCACTAAAAAAAAAATAAAGTGGTTGCTTCCAGAACAATCTAGTCAACATTAATGTCCTTTAGAGAAGGAAACTGTGTCCTTACCTGCTCTGGCCTACATGTGACTCCACACCCACAGCAATGTGGTTGATTCTTAACTGCCCACATCCTATGGACTAATTTTAAAACATTGCTTGATGACATTAGAAAAATAATTCAAGAAGTAATTCAAGAAGTGCTAGATGAAATTAGGTAAAGCCCCTCTCGTGGCATTTGTGTGGGCAAAGGATGATCAAGGTTAGCTAGCAAGTTGAAATACAGAAGGAGATAATCACACAAAATACACTTACAGAAAATAAAGTCAGCAATGTGAACAAATCATTGTAGTCATTGTAACTGCTGCATTAGTTTGACTGCTTAGAAACCAATACACTGCCATCATTTTGGTATTTTCAGGAGTTCTTTTTGATGCTTTTCACTTTTCAAGAATTGAACTGAGTCTAAAATGCTCCACTGAGACCAAAATACAAATTTTATTTAGCCAAGTGCCTGACAAATCTAAAAGCAGTACAGCCGAATCAATACGAAGTCAAAGATTTTATGACACTGAATACACACTTCACTGATGGACTTTACACTCCTCTGCAATCAAGTGCCAGTGAAAAGTAGAGATAACAAGCTGTACAGCTGGATGAACACAGCAGGCCAAGCAGCATCAGAGGAGCAGGAAGGCTGACGTTTCGGGCCTAGACCCTTCTTCAGAAAAATGAAAAGTAAACAATTTATACTGTTCCTTCTCTCCAGATTTCATTTATCATTCTGCTGTTTTGTCACCTTTCTGCTATCTGGACCTCAAGTTCCCATAGTGAAGTAGTAACACAAGTACAGGCAGGTTGATTGGAAAAGAAATGGCAGAAATTGCTGTTTGTGTCCTTTAAAATGGGCTCACGACCCTTGATTGCCTGGGACACCACAAGTAGATTTTATTGTTACTATTGAGCCACATATTCAGTTACTTTGTTTTTCTGGTGCTTTGCAGCATTCAGATCAATCAAATCAATAAAATATGCTAACTGTGGTTGAAAAGCAAGGATAAGCACTGCTACCCACACAGCTGACAGAGATTGCCTGCCAACTGATCATGCTTCAAGGCATCTTTTATGAGGTTCTTTAATGGGGCTTGAACATGGTAATGTTCAGCTGCATTCTCAAACATGGCATATGAAATACATGTTGCTATTGTTGACGGGAATTAAAATAAAGGGAGGTTCACATCCACTTAACAGAGTGTTGCATTCCATTGATTCAGGTGCCAATTAATACACTGGCATTATCAATGGCTTGTAATTCTTGTGTTTTGGGATCAGCAAGGGTTTATCAGGTGAGCTCCATTCCGTGACATACCTGGTCCAAAAAAAAAAATTGTTCAAATTGTCACCACATTTGCACCACAATGATAGCTACATTAGATTAAGATTGAATGATGCTGGATTCATTGTCAGACAAAATCACAGACTGCTTACAATGCAGAAGGAAGAAGCTTTTCAATCCTGTAGCATTTCTGCTTAGTCTCCATAGCAGGTATCCACAGTCTAATAACTCTGTCCTTCTCCCTACTGTCTATGATATTCACGTGTGACTGTTTAAATGTTTTGGGGATTCTACACCTATCACTGTTTCTGTTGGGACATTCCATATTCAACTGACCTTCGCATAAAAATACTCCTGCTCAATTTTTAATTTATTCTGATCATGATGGTCTTAAACTGTATGGTTTACAATGCAGTGGAAATACATTTCCTTGATGTGCCTCATGGAAAACATTGATAATTTTGACATTTTTGATCACATACCCTCTTGACACCAACTAGCAAAAATCTCTGCTTATATCTCTATCGTCCATGGTTTCATCCTGGTGAATCCCATCTACACTCCCTCCACAGTCTTGAAATTTTCTTCAAATACAGGAATCATATGATGACAATAATCTTATAGGCACCTGATATTTGTCAAGTTTACATTATGTCTTGGTTTTGTACTCTTTGAATGCGCTTACAACACTCAGCTAGGTGTGAATTCGTCCAAATTGTATTAACGTGTGATTCCATTTTGAAAGATTTGGATATCTGAACTCTGAAATCTCTCTGCTTCTCTGCCATTAGAAGAATTTGCCATTTAGTTATGATGGCCACTCTTTATTTGCCCAAATTTCAACCAACCTGCATTTCTCCACATTAAATGTTATCTATCAATGAGCTATTTACCCCTGAAGTCAGTGTCAGTTATCTTCACTATGCATATAGAGTGAACTTTGATACTTTGCCCTCTCTGTCCAAATCCAGACATTATATAAATTATTGTATATGTTATTATATATACACAAGAAATAAGTCCTTGAAAATGACTTCTAGTTACATCACTGCAGCATGAAAAATGCTGCAACTAGGCAGTTCCTTATTTAATAAAGGCACAAATTAGTAACATCAGATCTCTCACCAGTAATGCAAATAAAGGCAGAACAATAATAATAAAAATAAAAATAATAAAAAACAATAATAACTCTAATCTAAATAAAGTATTGTTTCAAGACTCTTCTGCTTTAATCCCATTGGCATCAAAGGGACTCTTCTATCAGTTTCATGTGCGCTTTATTATCAAGTCTGTGATTCACCAGTTATGTCATTTAGTGTTTTTGTTCATCCATGTAATATATGCCCCAGTAAGGAGCTATTGTGAATGCCCAAATATAAGGTACCAAGTTCTACATTCAGAACATTAAGAACACATGGCAAGGCTGGCATGGTGTGGATGTTCAACTCTATTAGGCGAGCTTTGCAAGTTACAAAAAATTCTTTCTTAGTAGCACACTTATTAAGGGGTCAGCATTTATAAAATTTCACAACTGGACTGGCTTTAAACAATGATTAAAGAGAAGCTCTCCCATTTCCTCATTTAGTTTATCGACCTACTAAATTATGCAACACAGGAGAAAAAGTTCCTGATTTGTATCACGTTCACAGAGTAATCCCAAAGGGATCTGTAATCTTCCTCCTTGAGTGACAATCTGTGCGGTAAAATATGACTCACATCTGACTTAGAAATACATCACTGTTCCTCCACGGTCACTTGGTCAAAATCCTGAAACCCCCACCTTAACAGCATTGTACCTACACCAAATGGATTGTGATGGTTCAAGAAGGAAGATCACCATGAATTTTTCAAGAGCAACTAAGATGGACAATATGCTGGCCCAGTCAGGAAAACATCCATCTCCTGAATGAACGATAAAAAAGATAACCACACTCCTTTCAGATATATATCATAGTCCTCAAACAAATCAGCAACTGCAGCACTCCAAATCCCATTCTGTTGAGGTCAACTACCAGAGCACAAACTGGGAAAAAAAACTTTCTGGTCGATAGACTTTAGCCAATAACATCTGCACCAAACACTTCTTACCTAAAATCGTCCTATACTTTATTAGAAGACTATGCATAGATGACAGCAGCAATGTGCAAATAATGACCTGTGGGTTATAAAGGGCCCTTGAACGCTGACAACAGTTGTGTAAGGTAATGGTTCTGAAAACCATAAAATTGAGCTGTTCTGAACTCCACTCACTCTGAAGGTATCACACAATCTTTGTGAAGAGTTTAGAGTTCTACACTAGCCTCATAGGGAGCGCAGGTTTCCAATACAGCTCACAAAAGTCCTAGTGATTATGCCTAAATTGTCAGGCTATCTTGTTAACTAAGACAAATATCTCTGCTGCTAACAGTCAATGTTCAATCATCCATCACTGATCATTCGATATGCCCAACATGCAAAATAGACAAAGGAGGATTGGTAGCAGTGAACTACCTCAAACAACCCTTGTTCTGAACAACAGCCTGACTGATGTAGCAGATACTATATGGTGCCAGCAGTGACAATCAGGGCAAACAGCACAGCAATGTAGCCCATCAAATTCAAGCACTAGGATTCCAAGTTTGCTCTTTGTGGTTTGTTCTGTTTGAAATTCAAGGGATTGCACATTTGGATAGGATATTTCTTAATTCTGTTCCATCCAAAGCCAGGATCAGCTAACAAAACTGTATGCAGATTAATGGAGTGGCCAACCTAAGTAGCCACTTGAGTTGAAACTCTTGGTCATTCCTACTTTGTCAAATTCCATTCAATATGAATTTCTCTTCAATTTATAAATAGAATCAACATAATTTCCTACTTCAACTCCAAACAGTTATATTGCATTTTTAATCTAACAACTTACCAGTTACAGTGGCTGTACCAATGAGTATAGTCAGGAACCACTGGGTCCACATGGTCATTGTACAAAGTCCAGTAGTAAAAGTGTAGCAAGTGTTTTCAGGTGAGGCACAAGAACTGCTCCCACTGGACATTCCTTCAGTGTCTTGGGCTTTGCATCAACTGGCTGCAGGAGTGAAAGAACAAAACTTGATTATTAAAAAACACATGACAAGACTAAATTGAATAAAATTCCAGCTAAATTTTACAGAAGTAAAAGCAGTTGATGCATGTATGTCATAGGTTAAAAATGCCAAAAGGCTGCTCATTTCTGCTATTCTCTGAGCGTCCGGAAATAGGAACCTTTATGACAATGAACTGCACTTCATGTCTTTGACACATGAGTTCACATGCTTCCCCAATCTCTGCAAAGGTAAATTGAGAAAAATGGTGACAAATTGTTAAGTTGCTTGATTTTACATTGAGTAACTATGAGTTACTTCTCAGTCCTCCATCTCTACCTAAAATATAAATGCGCCTTGCCCCTTCTTGGTCCAATTTAACAGTTTATAGCATGAACTTTATTTCTAAATGATCTGCAATAACTAGAACTAGCCACCCATAAACTCTTTTCTGTACCTGAGGCCTAAAACAGACATTGCCTCATTCAAAATCATCCTGATAGGTTTCTGAAAATGTTCTTGTTGTTTTTGTTAGCTCAGATCCTGGGAAGAGTACTTGTTGACAACAACTCGATACAGGCATTGACCAACTGACATGCCAAACAAAATGTCAGCTCTTTCTCATAGGAGGGTATTTCTTGGCTGACCGCTCATGCTGTGTTCAACACACAACTTTTTGGGATCTAAGATTTTAAAAAATCCCTAATGCTCCTTGACATCTCCACTGCCTCCTTACTGCTGCAATTGGTAACTTTTTAAACACATGAATTGATGTTTTTTCCAAAAAAAAAAGACAAAAGTAACCGAAGAAGTTAAAATTCCCAAACCTTGACATTGATACTTTCCTCGCCATTAAAGATAGTCCGTGACTCATTCACAACTATAACTTTGCTAAATCCACACATGGTGCAACGCTGATGTGTCCAATTTTGCCCCATAGGTTTAAAATGGAACACATTCGGAACACCAGGAACTAACCCTGAACTATTTATGAACTGGTCTGAAAGCTAAATGAGATTAAAAATAAAAATATTTCAATTATGTAATTTAGTTATAATTATGTTCAAAACATTTCAAGAAACAATATTTTGAGCAGGTCAAGAATTTGATCATAAGTGGGCAACAGTCTAGTTCCAGCAATATGTCTCTCTGTTCTTAGTTAAGGACAGCACTTCAGCCAATTAGATGCAGTAATCTGGTCCAGAAGGTGTAATAAATTGTAATTATTCTAATGACATAAAAGCCTATTACTAATTCATTGTGATAATGTCAATATACTGTCATTACAACATTAAATTGCCGAAGGACCTATAAAGGGTCAAAGAACCAGATTAAAAATAACTAATTTGTAGTGTTATGTGAAAAATAGTTGTGGTGAAGCTCTAATTCGTGCAGCTCTAGTGAAGAGCCAATATAGGCTCTTCAACATGGTATACTAATTGGCTTCCTTCTATGCTATAAAATGCTCTACAATGCTCTAACTCTATCCTTGATTCAAAATAAATAAGGTGGCCTTGAATCTCAAATAAACCAACAACTCCTGAGTGAAAACAATATTGCAAGTCGTTCAATACTAAACCTTCCATATATCAATCTGCTAGCCAATATGAGCAAATTAAAAGTTACAATTGACCTACAGAGGCTGTATTTCTAAGCTACAACATAAATCACATCAATTTATGTCAAGGCTCTCTTGAACGCTGACCTTTTAGGCTGCATTGCAGAGTCACTGCAAACCGCTCAGACCAGAGCTATTTTCTGTGGAATGGAGTTAAACAAAGACAAACACCCTTCCTAATGTTTTGTAAATCATAAGCCTCAATAAGAGAGAGTTCCTTTTTGTCTTTTGTTGAGAGTCAAATTGCTTTACATTCTGCTTTATGAGCTCCACCACATGCAAAGCATTTGGAACTACTTAAGGAACATCATAGATGTTCACACAAAAAGCAAGCAATGATTTTGTTTTGCAGATTTAGCTAGTTAATTCAAAGATGTGAATTCAATTGTATTTAAAACAATCCTTCCCCGCTGTTCATGTGATCACTGCCACTGTATGGGTAGTCAGAGGAGAAGAGTTCAATTCTGGTCTCCCTGCTACAGCAGAGATGTTGTTAAACTTGAGAGGATACCGAAAATATTTACAAGGATGGTGCCGGGGTCGAGGGTTTGAGCTATAGGGAGAGGCTGAATAGGTTGGGGATATTTTCCCTAGAACTTCAGAGGTTGAGGAGAGACCTTACAGAGGTTTGTCAAATCATGAGGGGCATGGACAGGGTGAATACCCAAGGTCTTTCTCCCAGGGTAGAGAAGTCCAAAACAAGAAGGCATAGGTTTAAGGTGAGAGGGGCAAGATATAAAAGGGGCTAAGGGGCAACTTGTTCAGAGGGTGGTGCATGTTCAGAATGAGTGCCAGAAGAGGTGTTGGAGGCTGGTACGTTTACGATATTTAAAAGGCATCTGGATGGGTACATGAGTAGGAAGGGTTTAGCGGGATATGGGCCAAATGCTGGCAAAAGGGACTAGAATAATTGAGGATCTCTCTTCAGTATGGATGAGTCTGACCAAAGGGTCTGTTTCCGTGCCATACAATCCTATGACTTTATGACTAGATCACATGGCATCTACAATACAACACATTAAAACTTAAGACATACCTACCAGCTTCACTTTAAGACACCATGGAGTTGCAAACAAACTGCTGTGAAATATAAAAAAAAATGGCCTAATTCGCAAATTAGGCTTTGAGTTGTTTGCCCCTTTTACACACCCCAGCTTGTGGGAACATTACACAAAATTGGTTTTCTTGTACTAAAAGCTGATTACTAAAAAGGAATCAATATTGTTAGGATACCCTGCAGCCAAATTGCACATAGCAGGATTCTGAAGACAGCAAAGTGATAAATGACGGATACTCTGTTTTTAGTACTTGAAGGAAAAATATTGGCCATGATACCTTATGAAGGGATGTTGATTAGTTTGGGCCTGTACTCATTAGAATTTAGGAAAATGAGAGGAGACTCTATTGAAACATATAAGATTCTTTGGGGATTTAATGGTGCAGGTACTGAGGTATTGTTTTCACGCATGAGTGTGTCTAGGACCACAGGGCATAATCTCAGAATAAACGGCTGTCCATTTAAAGCAGAGGCGAAGAAGATTTTTTTATCTCAGAGAACAGCAAATTATGGTATTCTTTATTGTAGAAAGCTATTAAGTATATTCAAGGCTGAGATAGATTTTCAATTTTAATGGAATCAAAACATATGGGGAAGTGACAGGTAAGTGAGTTAAGGATTATCATATCATCCACTGAGTGATAGAGCTGACTTGACGGGGCCTAAAAGCCTACTTCTGCTCTGACATGATACCAGGAGAGCTCCCCGTTCTTCAGAGAACAGTACAGTAGGACCATTTATGGTGACCTGAGGTGAAAGTGCGGGCTTCTGTTTAACATCTTACCCAAAAATGGCATCCATGACTGTACAGCACTCCTCCCACCTTCTCCAAGATATGGTACTAGACAGAAAATTATGGTCTGGAATTTCCTGGAACTGCACTATCAATAACGGACACCATGAATTGAGTTATGTTCTTTCATGCAAACCTCAAGAGAAAATTTTCTGGGCAAACATTTTGATCATGCCACAATAATCATAATGACTAAAATTAGGACTCTTGGGAGCAGTGATGCCAATGGCAGGCCCCATCTGCATCAATGACCAAATGGAACAGATCAATATTGGCATGATCCAAGTCACAGATGTGAAATACAAATATATTCACCATATGAAACCTGACAAATTACAGAAAAAAGTCTCAGTTCACTCACTTAGCTATAGTATTCAGAATTAACAATCTTTCTTAAAACACAGTATTTGTGGACCATATTATTGTTATAAAATCTCACAAGGTGCTTCACATGAAATGAAGTATGAAAGCAAGCCATATAAAGAGATAGCTTTAGGGCCAATGTCCAAAAGCTTAGTGAAACAGATGGATTTTAAGGGGTGTTTTAGAGAAAGAACGCATGATCAGGAGGTTCAAGAAGAGATTTCTAGGGCTTAGTCTCTATCCATGCCCTCAAGTGTCCCTAGTGTGGAGCAATGAAAATCAGCGTTGCTTTAGAGGCTAAAATGAAAGGAATGGAGATATCCCAGAGGATGGGGCGGCTGGTGGAGATTCCCAAGATAGAGAGAGAGAGATGAGGGCACAATGAAATTTTAAAGCAAGGACATATCAAGATATTGTTTGACCAGGGACCAACACAGTGAACATAGGCACTGGAATAGTCAAGTCTAAAACAATGTCATGCAACATGCTCACCGCTCACCACTTGCAGAACTAACATCACGTTGCAAGTCAGTCACAGACCTGTTGAGAATGGTAATTCTTCATAATTGTTGTGGCCTATTCCATTTAGCAATCTAAGGCAACATTTACAGTAGAAAATCCTGCATGGAATAAAATCTTTTACACTAAAAGAAATGTGGCCTCGTTGGATTAAGGTATATGGTAAAGACGCTGCCGTAAAGGGAATGTTGAAATAATTTTGTTGTTATTCCTCAACAAGATGCCATGTGGTTACTGGGTGAAAATTATCTTTCGATAGTTGTCACAGTGCAGTGCATTATTTCTCAGCTCTAGTGCTGTGGATTGTTACAAGATTCACTATCCCATCTGGTAAATATGCTGGAAATATTGTGATGAATATAATGACCTGATCGTCACAAGTTTGGCAAGCATCAAAATCCTATTGAACAACACTGGTGTCAAAGTAACAAAGAATGGAATAAGGGTTTCAGCAAAAGTTGACCCAAGACAGGGGTGAAGTTAGATGAAATTACGGAGGTAGAAATACACATACAAATATGCGGACATGTTGAAATTAATATTGACACCAGGGCAGTGAACAGTCTAGTTAACTCTTAGTTTGCAGGAAGAATTACGGAGTTAGTAGCAAGAGAATGGGAGCTTGGAATGAGGACTGAATGAGGAGCTTCAGTTT